TCCCAGGGGGAATGGCCACTCCACAATTCCTTCTCTCCCATCCTCTTCTTGGGATTCTCGGCACATATGCACATGTGCCTGGTGTGAGTTTCAAGCTACAGGGTCTGGGAGTTGGGGACGGGGGTGAGAAAGCAGGCCACCAGGTCTGGGACTTGAACCACAGTTGGCCATGTGAGACCCCAGTGCCTTAACCACCACACCACCTGCTAGTCCTCCTACAGATTCTTTAATGTGCTTATATTAATAAAGTCTTTCTTATTAATTATGACATTTACAACACCTCTAGATCTCTTTATTTTTTTTCTTTTTCTTTTTAAGTTGGTGAAGGCAATGTATACTTGTTAGAAGGAGGGAGAGAGGAAGAAAAGGCACTTAGTAGGGCATGGCCACATCACAATCTCTTTTTATCCATTTCTCTTTCCTACCAGAATTTTGAGCACAAAGGCACATATGTCCAGTGTGTTTATCAAGCGGCTCTATCTGAGATTTGAACTGCAGTTGCCATATGGGATCCAGTTCGTTCTATTACTGATTTTTCCATTAACTACTGATCACAGTTTCCAGTTTCTTCCCATGTCTAATAATTTATTATTGTACAATGGACTTTGAGGATGGTGTCATACAGACTTCGGATCCTCTCATCTTTCTCTGAAGAGTGATATATTTTGCTCTAGAAAGCATTTAAATTACTATTAGATCACTTTGAATTTGTAGAGGCCTGTTTATAAACTTTATTAAGGCGGGTTTATTATACTTAGCTTTATTTCTAGGGTGCACGAACCTACAGGTCCTACGATGGAATTTTCGCTCCTTAGGAGTGGCCCTTGAAGGAGTTTCAGTGGAAAGTCCACGGTGTATACCCAATCTTTTTCAACCTGGTGAGACTTGAATTTCAAACAATACAGTAGGCAGCTGCTGAAATCTCTGTTCTAGATTTTTGGCTGAATGGCTATTTTCCAATGGCATCTTGGAGGACCATTTCCAAAGCACATGCCCAGCTTGGGAATCGGTTTAGAGAGACTTTGTTTGGAGTTTCCCCGTTTGTGGCCTTTCCCTTTCTAGATTCCCCCTTCAATTTCCAGGCATTCATACAGTCTCTAACTCTACATCGTAAGACTGTACCTGCCTCCTTGAGATCCAGACACTGATTGCACTGTCACGTCGATGGAGAAGGCACTCAGGCCAAGGGCTCTGCACATGTGGGACCAGTGTGTGGTTCTCTTCTTTCAGCGGTCCAACACAAACTGGCATCCATCTACCGTGGGTTGTTCTCCAGTCCCTTAACATGGTTTGTTTTTTGTTGTTTGTTTGTTTTTTTCCCTTTCAAGATTCTGTCCAGAGTTTATCCCCCCCCCCCCCTTTCTCTCTCTCTACCTCTCAGGTCAAATTTAAATAAATAAATAAAGTTAAAGGGAGTAATTCTTTAAAGAAAAAAAAAAAAAGATGTACTGACCTTATAAAATGTTTTGGGAAGTATTCCTATATCCTCTATATTCTAAAGAGTTTGTGTTAAATTGGAACATTTCTCCCTTAAATATATGAAAGAATTCACTAGTAAAACCATTTGGGTATGGTGCTTTGTGGAAAGATTTTAAATGATGAACTCAATTTCTTTAATAGATATAAGCCTATTCAGACTTAGTAGTATCAAGTTAGAGTTAGAATTAAGACTAGAATAGTTGTGTTAGATGTACTTTTCAAGAAATCTGTGTCCACTTCACCCAAACGGATCAATGTACTTCCATAAGATTGTTCATAATAGTCCCTTATATATTCTTTCCAGTGCTCTTCCCTCCTTCATTCAATTTACACTGAATTTTTAACTGATGGCATTTCTCTTCAGTCTAAAGAATTTCTATTACATTCTTCCTAATGCAGGTCAGCTCAGGGCCAATTCTTCAAATTTTCATTTATCTGTCACTTTATTTCACTTTGATTTTTGAAAATATTTCTGTTAGATACAGAATTCCAGGGTGACAAGTTTTGGTTTCTTTCTTTCTATCTTTCTTTATTTCTTTGCTTTAAAAATAGCACCCCACTGTCTTCAGGATTCCATTCCTTCTGAAAAGTCTGGTGCCATGGTCTCTCAAATCTAACGTATTTTTTTTTTTTAATTATCCTGTCTTTGGTTTTCAGCAGTTTGATAATGGTGTCTAAGTGTGCTTTGTTGTGGTTGTTATTTCTCTTGATTTGAGTCACCGAGCTTCCCTGATCTGTGGACTATTATTCCTGATCAATTTTGGAAATTATTTGACCAATATTTCTGAGTTTTGTTTTTTCTTTCTTTTCTTTTTTAGAGATTTTTACTCTATAGGGTATGTGCATTTGCCAGAGAGACAGAGACAGAGAGAAAGTGAGAAATCACCTCCCAGGGGGAATGGCCACTCCACAATTCCTTCTCTCCCATCCTCTTCTTGGGATTCTCGGCACATATGCACATGTGCCTGGTGTGAGTTTCAAGCTACAGGGTCTGGGAGTTGGGGACGGGGGTGAGAAAGCAAGCCACCAGGTCTGGGACTTGAACCACAGTTGGCCATGTGAGACCCCAGTGCCTTAACCACCACACCACCTGCTAGTCCTCCTACAGATTCTTTAATGTGCTTATATTAATAAAGTCTTTCTTATTAATTATGACATTTACAACACCTCTAGATCTCTTTATTTTTTTTCTTTTTCTTTTTAAGTTGGTGAAGGCAATGTATACTTGTTAGAAGGAGGGAGAGAGGAAGAAAAGGCACTTAGTAGGGCATGGCCACATCACAATCTCTTTTTATCCATTTCTCTTTCCTACCAGAATTTTGAGCACAAAGGCACATATGTCCAGTGTGTTTATCAAGCGGCTCTATCTGAGATTTGAACTGCAGTTGCCATATGGGATCCAGTTCGTTCTATTACTGATTTTTCCATTAACTACTGATCACAGTTTCCAGTTTCTTCCCATGTCTAATAATTTATTATTGTACAATGGACTTTGAGGATGGTGTCATACAGACTTCGGATCCTCTCATCTTTCTCTGAAGAGTGATATATTTTGCTCTAGAAAGCATTTAAATTACTATTAGATCACTTTGAATTTGTAGAGGCCTGTTTATAAACTTTATTAAGGCGGGTTTATTATACTTAGCTTTATTTCTAGGGTGCACGAACCTACAGGTCCTACGATGGAATTTTCGCTCCTTAGGAGTGGCCCTTGAAGGAGTTTCAGTGGAAAGTCCACGGTGTATACCCAATCTTTTTCAACCTGGTGAGACTTGAATTTCAAACAATACAGTAGGCAGCTGCTGAAATCTCTGTTCTAGATTTTTGGCTGAATGGCTATTTTCCAATGGCATCTTGGAGGACCATTTCCAAAGCACATGCCCAGCTTGGGAATCGGTTTAGAGAGACTTTGTTTGGAGTTTCCCCGTTTGTGGCCTTTCCCTTTCTAGATTCCCCCTTCAATTTCCAGGCATTCATACAGTCTCTAACTCTACATCGTAAGACTGTACCTGCCTCCTTGAGATCCAGACACTGATTGCACTGTCACGTCGATGGAGAAGGCACTCAGGCCAAGGGCTCTGCACATGTGGGACCAGTGTGTGGTTCTCTTCTTTCAGCGGTCCAACACAAACTGGCATCCATCTACCGTGGGTTGTTCTCCAGTCCCTTAACATGGTTTGTTTTTTGTTGTTTGTTTGTTTTTTTCCCTTTCAAGATTCTGTCCAGAGTTTATACTAGCTATTGGGAGACGGGTCAGCCCAATACGATTCACCCCAACATTACTGGAAGCCAGAAACTTAATATAGTGGATTTTAATGTCTTAACTGTGAAAAGGCTTTTTAGGCTTCCTTTCTTAGGAGAGTCAGAAAAAGCGTACAAGAATAAGTTACAGGTGAAAGTAAGATGAGACGAGATGAAAGTTAGGACACTAGAGACATGCTGATGAGGTTACAGCTTCTGCTGATGAGGCAGAACACTTTCACAGTGTCAGACAGCTAGAAAACGGAAACAAACTGGGAAAGAGAATGTCAGTAACAAGAGAAACCAAAGTAAGAGAAGGGCAAAAATGAAACATAAAATTATCTTAACGTCTGAGTGACTTATTGATATTGCCTTAACACATGCTTCTTTCGATTAAGGTAAAATGATAAAATGATAAAATGCTATGTAAGAATAAAAGAAAAATGAGACTAGTATTGAAACTGTAATGCCAAGAAGAGACCATTAAAAGAAATGTAGCAATCGAAAAGAGGAATACTACTCAGACACAAGAATAATGCATGCCAAACTTCTTATAAAAACCAATGTGAGACCAGCAGTTAGCATAATGGCTATGTCACTGAACTCTCATGTAGCCGACCCCTGTTTGAGTCCCGGACCCGGTGGCTTAAACTCACGCCAGCTGCGTGTGCATGCGTGCCCAAGATCCCAAGAGGAGAATGGAGGAGAAGGGATTGTGGTGTGGCCATCCCCCCGGGGGGTGATTTCTCGCTTTCTATCTCTCTGTCTCTCTCTCTGCCTTTCTGGTGAGTGCACGCACCCTATAGAAAAAACCTCTCCAAATAAAAAAAACACCAATGTAGCTGGGGCCAGCAGATGGCATGGCGGTTAAGGGCGCTAGACTCCCACACAGCTGACCATGGCTCGAGTCCTGGGCCTGGCGGCTTACTTTCTCATTTTCTCTCTCTGTCTCTCTCTCACACTGTCTCCCTCTGGTCAAACTAAAATATATGAATAAAGTTAAATAAAATAATTAAATAAAAAAACAAATGTAGCTATTTCAATACTTTCAAAGCAAATTAATAACAAAAGCTCAAAGTACATTAACAACCTTAAAAATTGTATCATTTACTTTTCTTTATGTTACTGCATACCACAAGAGAAGTTTCTGTAACATTTTAAAAATATTTTATAGGGAAAATTTTAGATAGTGTACATGACCTTGGATCACAGGTAAAAGTACACTATTTCTCTGTTAAAATATGTACAGAGGTAATTTTTTTAAAAAATATATCACTCACTTATATTTTCAGATGTCACCATGAATTCTTCAACTTCATCATCGGAATCATCTATTAAGGGCATGAAGGCATATCTGTACCAAAAGTAAGAAACAGTTTTACAAACATGTTAGAAACTGTTTTATTTTCAGATTATATGTAAAACTCACTGTATACCAAAAAAATGTACATTTAAAAAATTTCTTATAGGAACCAGCAGGTGGCATAACGGCTATGTCACTGAACTCCCATGTAATCGACTGCGGTTCGGGTCCTGGACCCGGTGGATTAAATTCACACCGGGAGTGTGTGCATGCATGCCCAAGATCCTGAGAGGAGACTGAAGGAGAAGGGATTGTGGTGTGGTCATCCCCCTAGGGGGTGACTTCTCGCTTTCTGTCTCTCTATCTCTCTCTGTCTTTCTGGAGAGCACTCACGCCCTATAGCAAAAACCTCTCAAAAAAAAATTTCTTACAAATTAAAATAATAAAAACTTAACTATTTTATTTTCAAATTAGCTAATATTCTTGTGGGGAAAAAAAAAAAAAAGAACAACCTGTGAAACTGGAACTGTTGGTAAAAACATAAACAGATAAAATCTTTTTTAGAAGGCAATTCTGTAATATGTAACATTCAAGGAAGGAAACTGCTGTGTTTCTTTCCCCGTGTCAGGTTTATCTCCCTGCCCACCACTTTCTAGCTCAAATCCTAATGAAAGAGAAGTTGCTAATCTGACTGCTAAAAATAAAGATGATTCACTGAGCAACATTTACTAGGTGATAAGATCACATATCGTTCTGTCCAAATACTGATGATGGGGTATGGGTCAAAATAATCCTTCGGGGGCCAACTCCAGGGGCTGGTGGTTAAGGGAAGCGGACACCACATGGCCAGCTGCACAGTTGGTGCCCAGCCCTTGAACTTGAGGAACACGCGGTACACGTGCAGGTGTGCCCATAATCCCAAGAGGGTGGAGAAATGGAGAAGGGACTGTGGTGTGAATATGTTCCACAGGGGTGTACTTCTTCTGCCCCCTGAGTACACTCACTCTTTATCAAATTAACAAACAAAAAGACAACCTGTCTGGGAGGTTTCTGGGTAATATCTACCAAAGTAAAGATATATTTTGTCTTACATGACATGAATGTCCAACAGCATTCAGAAAGCATTGTTGATAACAGCAAACATTTTGAAACAAAATGTCTAATAATTGAGGACTGCTTATTATTTCAAAATGTCACAGAGCCACTAAAAATAGTGTAGATTCTTATATGATAACAGAAAGACACATTTTAAACAGGAAGGTACAGAACTGTGTGTGTATAATCTTTAAAAAGGTCATGAAAGATGCATATTATGAAAACATTATGCATGTTTTTCTAATTTTTTCATCAAAATAAATTCATACTTTAATTCCATTTTTAATTAATTATTTGAAGTGTCCTCATAGATACTCATTATTTTATCATTTTAAAATGGGAGAGGGAAAAACACATACTGATACATTGTGTCTCAATTTTTTTCCTAGAAGAACACACAAGAAACAACAGTTCTTTCCTTGGGGAAAAGGGACAGGCAAGGAAAGGTGAAACCTATCTTGACGCTCAGTCTAAGGTTCAATTTTCTGAACCTGATATCTGAGCCCTTTTCCATTTCAGTCCCACATCCTTTCCAGCTTTATCTCCTTCCAAGGTAAGTAGTGGTAACTAAACTGCAGGCCTCGCCAGCCTCCGAAGTAGGCCATGTCTTTCCCACTGGCCCAGGAAAGGTACATTCTTTCCCAGCTCAATCTCTCGCTGCCCCACCTCCGCAAGGGAGAACACAAACGCTGCCCTTCCATGGAGCCTACCTCAGCTCGCTTCTACCCCCGGGCTAGTCGTGTCTTTATCTCATGGTCTTATGTTTGTTATGTGCGCTTCCCTAGCTGACTACTCTTTAAAAGCAAGGCCTACTTCCCCATGGTTTCTAAAAACGCTTTTTGGTGACACTATCGTTGGTGATCAACGAATGCCGGCCAACATGATCTTCCTGTTGGGTACCTCTGATTATTTGCTGACGGTCTCCACAAAAACATTATCACGATAAGGATAACTGAAAAAAGGAAGCTCCAAAATGCATCTTCAACCCAGCGTTCCATCCAGTCCTATAAGAAGGACAATCCAAACATGAAAAGTTAATTTTCCGATAAACATTAGGTTTCTCATTCAAATAGCACATGATGACAAGTACTAATAATCTAATCAGTAAGTTTCTAAATAAACAAGCACATATTTTTTTCAAGAAACCTAAATCATTCAAATCTTCCTAAAGGACTTTCTAATGTTACAAATACTGCCCTCCATAAAACTTTGAGGTTAACAGATTTACTGAGTTATCAGAAAAGTCATGGTGTATTTTTACATAGAAAAACACATTATAGCTTTTTCCAATGAGCCAACAGAAAAAGAAAAATTGGGCACACACTGTATCCTTGCGGTTAAGGGAGCTGGATCTTAGACAGTCAACCGCATTTTAAATTCTAGCCTCAACGGCTTGAAAAATTCCCTTTTGAAGGCCAAGCCCATAGTGCAAAGGTCAGGCACTGTGCAGAGGTAGCTGGATCCCACAAGACTGACCACAGTTCAACTCCCAGCTTTAGCGGCTTGAAAAATATGCTGGACATGTGTGTGTGATCCCAAAGTCCCAACAGGATAGTGAAATGGAGGAATGGAGAAGGGACTACAGAATGCCCATACCCCACTGAGGCCAACTCTCTCCCTTTCTCTCTGGAGAGTACATAAGCCTTTGGTGATTAAAAAGAAAAAAATCTGAAATATATACTTAGAACTTCAAGTGGAAAACACTAAGGTTAGGAAAGGAGAAAAATTCAATTTCAGAGGGGTTCTCATTAAACTCTTCCTCCAAAAGCAGACAATCAGGATTTTCACAGGGCTCTTTACAACGGTCTATTCAGAACCGGAGACTAGCCCCAAAGTTCAAAAACCCCCAAAGGAAGATTTTCTATATTGTCAGTCTAAAAAGTGTAACTTCTGCCAACTAAAGAACTCATGGCAAAAACCTCTCAAATGTCCATACTTAGTACATCTTAAAAACACAGAAGACTCAAGACCTCCAGCCTCCTTCAATACAAAACCACCCCATTTCAAGGCATGCGTGAAGAAAAAGATTTCCTGTTTCTTTGAATTAACCACGTAGAGAATTCTTTTTCAAAATACATTAAAAAGTTGAGAAAAAGGACATGACAGAAAAGCAGATTTAGAAAAACTTTTCTATATTAATTTAAAGGAGGCAAACGTTTTTCTAATACTAGACAAAAGAGTTCCAAGTAAAGTCATGAAAGTCTATTACAATTACCTCTATTTACAAACACAAACTAAAGTCTTCAAAATTCCAGAAAATAAAATGCTGTAACTAAAAATGATAACTGTTTAAATAGAAAGGTTATACTTACTGATTGGCATTTTGCAATTCTAAATGTCTTAGTTGTCCACACCATGAACACTACAGAGGCTGAAATACACACACGAAGTCAACTTGGAAGGAACATACAATGCAAAAATAAATTATTATAAGGAGAAAAATGAAATAGCCTACCCAGCACGGCAAAGATCAGAGTATTTGTGAAGTGCCTGTATAATGAAAATTTCACTGTGTTCTTTCTCAGCCTTAGAGTCTTCATAGTTTGTGCCAAACTTATAAAAATGTGAAAAGAGTTAAGGAAAAACATTTTACATGGTAGAAATAGTTAAAAAAATAAAAAAGAAACAAAGAAGAAAGAAGACTCTTCTACTACATTCCAAAGTTAGTAATACAACTCTTAAAATTTGAAGTTAACGAACCCCCTTCCAGGAGCACACGTGTGGTGGCAGTGGGAGGGAGGTTCTTAATTTTGGCTATTTTCAGGAGCACAGGCCCAGGTAAAGGTCAACTGTCAAGTGTGTAGGAAAAGAGACCACCACTGACTCTTTGGTGATGCTGGGCCGTATGCTAGCCTTCTCCGCAACTAGAGAGAGGCCCACAAGCTTTGCTCATGAACCAAACACTGAAAATAACAGAGCTCAGCCAAAGAATAGAAGTGCTACGTTTTGCATCTATGCCTATTTTAAATGATGAATACTTCACTCTTCAAAAACGTCATTTTAGTACTATAACTGCTTTCCTAAAACTGCTTTTCAATCCTTCTAAATGACTAGCACGTTATGAAAGAAGATCAATTTCTGAAGTGACACCACCCAACCGATAAAGGCTGTCAGAACTTATTGCATAAACACACCAAGACAAAGGCTTTTTAAAAAGTCAGGATTAAACCAATTTCAGTGTTTAAAAGCCTATTCTTAATTAATAATTCAAAAGTGTGTGTTTTTATTTTTTTTAAGTCAAGGAATAAAAAGATCAAAAGCAAATCCAAAACTGCCTAAGTAACCCCCCCACTTACCTAGACATGGCTACATTTAGGTGATGTTTAAATCATTTCCCCCACTAAAGAAAAGTAGGAATGAAGCAAACCACCACCTTCGAAGTGGGGAACATGCTGCTGCAGCAGGAAAAGGATATCCACCAGCACAAGCCAGAGTCAAGGAGAGAGAGAGGGAGGCTGGCCAGGAGAACAAGATCAGAATCATTCGCCTGCAGCAAAACAGCAGAGAGAATACAGCAACACGCAGGAAAACACATGGCAGGGGCAGGAAAACCACGCCCTACATGAGAAAGGCTACGGCTTCCAGGGTATACTTGTCCTACTCCTAATTCTTGATGAATTCGCTAGAGAAAGTTCATTAAAATTAAAAGAAGCACGTTGTTATCCAAAGCACTTGACTCTACATGTATCTGTCCTGCTTCTTCTGCAATTCAGAATCATTTAGGAAATCCACTATCTTTTTTTTCATGAACAGAGAAAGCACACTCTTTATTTTAGTTATGAAATTTACTAACTTCCTAAGTTCAGTTTCAAGCAGAAATGGACAACAGATTACTTTTCTGCCATCACGAAACACTAGTCAAGATCATTTGAATTTCTGGATGTCTCCTATTTCTTTTCCAAGCTACAAATCTTAATAATTAAGCCAATTAAATTTTCTATCTCGTTTTTCTCATATCTCCGCCTCAACTGGGCTCATTACATATTGGGATGTACAAAGTCAAGGCTACACATTAAGTGTGATAAATTACCTTTATTCAAATCCAGAGGGAATTAGTGCCTTTACAGCTGCCTTTCTCTGGTGTTCTCTATTAAGCTGCATTAGTGACTGTTTCTTAATGAAGTACCTTGTGGATGGTTAAGAAGAAGAAATCTTCATGACACAATCATGCATTGCTTAATACCAGGGAGGGATACGTTCTGAGAAATGCATCGTTAGGTGGTTTTGCTGCACATCATCGCCCAGTGTACTTACACAGGCCTGGATGGTACATAGCCTCCTGCATACCTAAGCTACAAGGCAGGCCTACTGCTCCGCCACCATGTATGTGGTACATCTTTGACCAAAGCACTGCTTGGCAGTATAGGACCATACATATCATAGAGTACCAGGGGGAAAAAATCATACTTTTTTGTTTGTTTGGTTTATGCCATCGGGCACATGCACTCGCCAGAGAGAGAGAAAGTAAGAATTTGACCCCAGGGGAAATGGCAACACACCAATCCCTTCTCCATTCTCCTACTGGGATTATGGATATGCATGATTTTTAAGGCAACAGGTCCAGGGGGGCACCCATGGTTGGCCATGTGGGAATCCAGCACCTTAACTACTAAACTACTACACCACCTGCTTACCCCAATAGTACAATTTTTTTACAAAAATTTTTTAGGGAACCAGCAGTTAGCATAATGGCTGTGTCGCTGGACTCCCACGTAGTCGACCGCGGTTCGTGTCCCGGACCCGGTGGCTTAAAACTCACGCCGGGCGTGTGTGCGTGCGTGCCCAAGATCCCGAGAGGAGAATGGAGGAGAAGGGATTGCGGCGTGACCATCCCCCCTGGGGGGTGATTTCTCGCTTTCTGTCTCTATGTCTCTCTCTGTCTGTCTGGCGAGCGCACGCGCCCTACAGTGAAAATCTCTCAAAAAAAAAAATTTTTTTTAAAAGATTTATTTTCTTCTTATTATTTTTTAATTTGGTAGAGGGCATGTGTGCTCACCAGGCACTGGACTCCCACATGGCTGACTATAGTTCAAGTCCCAGACCTGGTGGCTTTCTTACTTTCCTTTTCTCTCTCTCTCTCTCTGTCTCTGATGAGTACAATTTTTTAAAAAGCATAATCTACAGTTCAATTAGTTGATCAAAGAACATGCGTCTTAACTTTTCAAAGGCTCCGAGCATACATAATTACAGAAATGAGACAATTCAAAACTGAACAGAGATCTTGATCTCATTTTCTAAATACACGACAGAAGACAAGACATTAACATCTGGGGAGAGTAACACTGAGGCCAACAACAGCTGGGTTCATTTCAGTCTCAACTCCTTGCTGCCCAGCCTTCTCCAGACAGGTAGGCCTCCCTCACAAGAGGTGGCTGCAGGGCTCAGCAGGACCATTAGCCCCTGGAGGTGTGTACTCAGCTGGAAGGCTGCTCACATGCAGAAGCAAAGAATGGACTTCACATTTCAAGGTAGAAAAACTCAAAACTACACTAGACTATACCACTCTCTGAGAAGACTGGTATTTTTACAAGCATATATACAGACTCAGTAAACTTGTATTCTGAATAGTAGCTCTGAATAGGATTTTTAAACAAGTTCAGTCAGAAACAACTCTAAATCTGGAACTAGTTCTTAACCAGGATCCTTAGATAACTGAGGGTCTGTGGATATAATTCAGGAGGTCTGAAGCTACCTGGCTGTATGCAGAAATTCCTTTTGTGGGGTATGTGTTTGTATCCTGTGAAGAGAGGCTCCACAGCTTTCATTAAATTTTCAAAGGCTTCTCTGCTCTTAGCGCTCAAACAAGATTAAGAACCACTGTCAGGCCCCACAGCCCACTGGTTAAGGGAGCAAGATCCCACAGGCCGGCCACAGTTCAAATTGTGGCCTCAGTGGCTTGAAAAACAAGCTCCGGTGCATGTATGCCTAATATCTTCACAGGATGGAGAAACAGAGGAAAAAGGATTGTGGTGTGACTACGCCCCCTAGGAGGTTGCTCTCCTTTCTCTCAGGCAGGTGTACACACTCTCTGGTGATTAATAAGAAGACTCATCACTGCTTCAGAAAATAAGATAATACACTTAATGTCTTTGTCTTTTTTAAAAAAAAAACTTGGAAGCACATCGATAATTCAAAAATTATCATTTTAAAGAATATTAAATCAGGATTAGAAAAGAACCCATGATGGACTCAGAAAAGCTTACGAACACTTGCCAGCACACCTGCAGAAGGGATACTTTCTTGTAAAGAAGAGACCCAAGTATAGTCAAGCCCTCAGACCCTTGTGAGACACACAGATGAGAAAATAGAAAGAAATACAAGAAAAACATTAAAGTGTAATGTTAAAGCAAAAAGGCGTAATTATTGAAGACAGTAAAAACAGTGGAGAAAAAAAGAACACAGAAATAAATTAAATCTCCCTAATAGTAAAGAGTTTTGAAGAAGACATAAATGTGGGAAAAATAGAAAAAATAATGTTCCAGGAAATGTGTAACTCTGCATTCTGTTCTCACCTGGTCATATTTTCTCTAGAATCCCTCCTACTACAAAGAGGTCAGATTAAAGGGCCACTACCTTGAGGAGAAGACAATGGGGATTTCTCAGTCTTGCCTTACATCACTGAATCCAAGAGGAGGGCATGTCCCCCGCCTCGAACTTTCCTGCTGCAAACTGCTTCCGTCCCTCGCCCGCCACCAACCTGCCCTCTGCCCCATTCAGACCTCTGGAATGTCCAAAGCGGGCTGCACCTTGCAAGGCCAGCTCTCTGCAGCACTGGTCACTGTCAACCACACTTCCTCTCCTCATCCATGCCAGTTTCCCAGTTCTTTCACCTCCTCTCCTCATCCATGCCAGTTTCCCAGTTTTCACCGTTCCTTCTTGTGTTTCCCCTGGCACATCACCGTCACCTGTCCCCTCCTCTCCTCGCTGGTCTGCACGTTCTCCTTGCATCACTCTATCACTCTATGGCTGCAGCCTTCTCCCACAGAGAAGACCTCCGATCCTAGGTTCTACCCTCTCACAAACCCAGGCTGCAATTTCTGACTCTTGACGTTAATGCCCTGGACAGCTCAAACCTCGGCCTTCACCGCTCCTCTGCCTGACCGCTTTGAGGATGGCAACACTGTCCCAGCTATCCCGATGAGACACCTACACCTCTTTGGAACCTTCTTTCCCTTCACTGGCCACCAACATCTTGCAAGAAAATCACATAAACCCTTTTCCCCCTTCCCCCACCCTATTTCTGATGCTGGCCATCTCTTCTTGGACCACTGTGCAAGACTCCTTACTGGGCTTCCTGCCTCCAGTCTCCCTTTCCCAAGTCATCTTCCTACGTCATCCTTGAGCCCCTAAGAGGGTTCCTTGCTACTCACCTGCACAGCTTCCACTTCTCCTCACTTTCTGCCTTCAGAGGGGACTCTGAACTCATGAGCACGTCATTCCATCCTGCCCTTCTGGCCCCATCTGCCCTGACTTTCCATACACGCTCACCTGCAGGCCAGCTGCCCTGGGCCATTCTGCCTCTGTCTCCCTGTATGTTCACGCTTCCAACTACTTGTTCCCCTCAATTGTTCTCAGAAAGCCTTTCCATCAACTCTTTTCCTAGTAAACCCCTATCTGTCTTCCCATTCTCAACTTGAGTGCTGCTGTCTCTGTTACAGCCCTCGCTTGGGTAGCTGTCACTTTTTTACCTTCAACTAAACTCCTAAAATGAAGTAACAATATATTTCTATCATTAGTATGAATTAAAAGTAATTTGATTTTATTGCTATAATCGTGGAAGGACACAGTAAAGGATATGAACCATACAAAAATGGAGTCAATAACTGCTAAAACAATATCACCACAAACAACAGCTAAATGATTGGAACCCTGAAAGATAAAAATAGGGGAGAAAACCTGAATGTAAAAGTTTCATCACATTATGGCAATCACCTGATGAAGGAAAATAACATAGCTTATGTCATCACTTTGCAAAGCCACGGGAAAGATTTTCTTTCCTAAAGCAATCGTGTTTAAGTACATGGAAATGACCTTGACAGTAGGGTACAACTGTGTTATGGGATGGCAAATAAACAGCATCATGACCCCAAACCTGCTTAAGCCAACCATTTCAGTCCCTCCTCTAGCCACACCAAACCCAGAGCCAGGCCTTCTGAGACATGGACTCCTGACCTTTCCTGCTCAAGTGAAGTGACACACAGAAAAGTAAAACACAGAGGGAACGGTATGGAAGGGGAGACGCAAACCATGGATCAGACATTTACACTGACTCATCATATTTAAAACAGTCACGATCTAAGATGCTACGTAAAATTTTCAAGAAATACCACAAATATGCTATATTTAAATGTAGGATATTTGTTTTTACTATTTTCTTTCTAGAAAAAATTATTTCCTACAAGCTATAAATATAAATGCAGAGATCTTCCTGAGTATGTAAAGGTACAATGAGTAAAACAGCAGGCAGAGTACCTAACGTGGAGAGCAGATGTTATCAAAGACAACGGATGCTCTGCAGACCTCTTACAGTGTCCACGTGCCAGAGTGAACTGCGGCCTCCCACCACTGCCCAGCCCTCTCACCAGAGGAGGTTGTGTAGTGTCATAAAAAAAAGACAACGGCAAGAAGAATGAGACTTTTTAAGATTACTGAACAAAGAGGCCAGCAGATGGCATGGTGGTTAAGGTGCTGGACACTCCCACATGGCTGACCATGCTTCGAGTCCCGGACCTGGTGGCTTGCTTTCTCATTTTCCTTCTCTCTCTCTGTCTCTGTCTCTCTGGTCAAATAAAAATAAATGAATGATGGGGTCGGCAGGTGGTATGGTAATTAAAGGCACTGGACTCCCACATGGTTGACCACGGTTCAAGTCCTGGGCCTGGCAGCTTGCTTTCTCACAACTCCTTCCCCCCCCTCCCCCCCTCCCTCTCTCTCTCTCTCTCTCTCTCTCTCTCTTACTCTCATTCTCACTCTGTCCCTCTCTGGTCAAATTAAAATAAATAAAGTAAAATAAAATAAAATTTAAAAAAATAAAACATATGAATGAATAAATAAAATTTAAAAATAAATAATTGTTTAAAAAAAGATTACTAAACAAATCTCCAACTGTAAGGGTCAGGTCAAACTATGCCAAGTAAACTTATATATGGCAACATATAGATTAACGACAGTGATTTGAATTCTGAAATTAATCTGAAAGATATTTTGGGTAGAATGACAAGGTTCTTTGAATCAGGTAAGATATATTACTTGGGGCTGGCAGGTGGCGTGGTGGTTAAGGGTGCTGGAATCCAACATGGTCAACAACAGTTAGAGTCCCAGATCTGGTGACAACAGTTAGAGTCCCGGATCTGGTGGTTTGCTTTCTCACTTTCCCTCCCTCTCTTTCTCTCTCCATCTCTCACTCTACCCCTCTCTGATAAAATTAAAATACATAAATAAATAAAGTTAAATAAAATAATTCTTTTAATAATTCTTTAAAAAAAGATATATTTCTTACTCAGTCTTCAACTCCATATTAAGAAAAATGCAGAGCTAGCAACTAAGGGTCTTCACAGAAATAAATGGAGTACTCTAGAGCCAAGTACTGCTGCTCACACTGTCGGGGTCATCTTCCTCTGAGCACTGTCCCCTCCTGGTTCTTCCAATGATGGGGTCTACTGGAGCCCCAAAATAGTGAGTCCAACAGAATCAGAGAAAACTTAAAACCAGTAAAAACTTTAAAAAGTGATGAAATATAATGTATATAATACCCAAAAGATGTAATTACATCTCTGTTCACCGGATACATTTTTAAATTCCGGCTCAAGGAAGCTATGAGAGTGTACAAACCCCAGAATGATGAAGACAGATGCTCTTCGTAAAGAACAACCCGAACATCTCTGAGCCGATCTTGTTTCTGGGTTAACAGTGAGTAGTCAAGGGTATCACTTTAAGAAGTACTCTGCCTACATTGCCTTTTCCTTTTAGGCAGTATAAAAAAGGGAAACATGCCTAGGAAAAAGGCTCAACTTGGACGTTTCCATGTATTTCTAGCTTTAAAAACTCATCTCAGGAAATACAAAGCAAAGTCACATTTCACAGCAAAAACAGAAAGGGGTGGTAGTGTACGATGGGTCGTTTTTACCCCAATGACTCTCATCACGCCTTCGACCGCTGCGAAGATAAGGTAAAGAAGTCCCAATCCAATCACCCGGTGCATGACTGTTCCTAAACGAGGCCTGGAATGAGGAAGGAAAAACAGAAAAAAAGAGAAGGATGAGTAAGCAAAATGCATCTGAATCCAATAACTGGTACCATTCCAATACCAGAGAAGTCACTACCAAATCACTCTGCTTCTGCCCGTCAGGGTAAACTAGTATATTCCCTGAGAACACAAATAGAAACGGGTCTGGGGGAGACGCGTCTCGTTCTTTAGGACTTGCTGCTGTATCAATGCCCAGGAAGCAAGATTTCAAGTTCACAAAGGCCAGAAGAGTTTGTGCTGAAATACAAGCAATAGAATTAACGTAACACAGGTCCTATACATTTCTATAGGACGGAAGAGTGGGTTGATGACATCTGGGAAGGCAAGTCCTGTCTTCTAAAGTGCCATTGGCAGAGACTGTAACTTAATTATTTCAGTACATTAACTACAAATGTTCCTGAGACACATCCTGTAAGAGAGAACCCACTGGTCATACAGTGGGCAGAGAAAGAGCAGATTATTAGGAGATGGAACTCCATTATCTCCACTCTGACCACTGTCTCTCGATACCTAGAGCAGGAGCACTAGCAGAATGTAGTTTTCAGTCTTTAAACTGAAGGGGGCTAAAATTACATTTTTGGTTCTCTTAAAATATGACTTGAAAAACTGCAAAGATGGAAAAAATGCAAAGATGGTGACTTTTCTATTTAGCTATCTGAAAACAGAAATTTCATGACATCTGTAAATCAGACTCTATTGCACATACACTTTAGTATATTCAAAATCCTACCCTCAGAGTAATTAAAAGAAAAAACTGGTTTCAAAAAGATATTTTCAAATCATTCTAAGAGAAAAATCTAAAATTAAACAGATGCCCCAGCTCATATTGAAGACTACCAACCTAACTGAGTTCACCTATATTTTAATTCACTATTACTAGCTAACTAGAACCCTCAAATAGCCAGAATTGCTACTGCTCTTACTTCACAAGAACTGAACAGAACAAGGCAGTAGTGAGGGGATTCATCCAAAGAGCTATGCCTGCATCAGCTTACTTCCCTATTCCCTTCACAGAAACACCACTGAGGCCACTGGCACCTGATGTTCATAACCGGAACTGAAGGTACTGCAAGGTTCCTAGAGACGGTTCTGCGCTCTGTCCAGTGTACTAAGACCACAAAAAGCATCTGAGAAGGGATGATCTCAATGAAAGTCCTGTGGAAAAAAAAGGTTTCCTTGCCAAAATTCTGCTAACTACACCAATCCTGACCTCACGGCATGAACGCATGTGTTCAATCACATTTACTGAGTGTGTACCACATGCTGGGACGGCACCAGGGCCTGGCTGAGGTCAAGGCTGCAAAATAGGCAAAGCTCCTCCTCCATGGGACTCACATCCAAGATGGAGCAGGGAGGTCGGACAGAAAATACTGTTGGGTTATTGGAAAAGTGATGGCGTATTTTTAAATATTTTGCTATGCCAATAAAATGTACATCAAGTGGCATTATAAAAAGGATAAGGGGGGCCAGCAGGTGGCGTGGAGATGAAGGTAGCTAGATCCTAGCTGGCTGACCATGTGGTTCAAGTCCTACACCTGGCAGCTTGAAAAACATGCCAGGTGCATATGTGTGCATGCCCAAAGTCCTGAGAGGAGAATAGAGGAGTAGAAATTGTGGTGTGGCCATCCTCCTGGAGGGTGATTTCTCACTTTTCCTTTCTCCTGTCTGTCTGCCTGTCTGTCTCTGGTGAATGCATGTACCCTATAGCAAATGTTAAAAAAAAAAAAAAAGGATAGGGGTGATAGTCTGTACTGTTAGGAATCACCTCCATGGGAGATGACAGTGGAGCAGAAACCCTGAAGAGAACAAATAAATTGTGCCCAAGACTGTGGGAAGAAGCCTGCATGCAAAGGCCTTTACTGCAGTGTGAGGCAGCACCTGTTGTCTTTAAGGCACAGAAACAAGAAAGCCAGCAGGACAGAGCAGTGTGTTCAAACGGCAGAGTGACAGGAGGTATAAGGTCAGGGAAATAGCTGGCACCACCGAGAATATAGTTCATTAAAATATGCAGCAAAGTAACGAGGTCTGCGTCCTATCTTGGAAGGATCATCTCGGCTGCTGCTGTATTACAAAAAAGCTGACAAAGGCCAAAGCAAGGAGACTAGTTACCCTACTGAAGTGGCCCAGGCAAGGGAAGAGGGTGGCTTGAGTGGAGTGGTACGTATGGAGTGCTCTGAAGTGTTCTTTAGTGGAGCCACTGAACTGGTTGAGAAGGCCACAGTGTGCAGGTCTCAGAGCAGAGGTCTGAGGCTTGGGCTGGGCACTCCAATGCTGAGCTCAGAGTATGAAAAGCATCCAGAAGAAGGGACTGAGGAATAGGAGCCAGTGATGTGAGAGAGAAACACCACAAACTCCTAGAAATGCAATAAAGCAGGGCTCCACAACAAGCTGCTGACTGGTACCTGGACAGGGGTTGAGCAATGGAAAGATGTGGAAGGGGAGGCTCAGGTGACCTTGACAAGGACAGTCCCAATGGATACCGGGGACAAAACCTCAACAGGGTTATGTTCCAGAGACGGAGGGCGGTCACGTGGCAAGTGCAGACAACTCAGTGTGAGAAGTCATGCTGCCCAGGTGGAGAGGGATGAGGGAGAAGTAAGAGGTCAGTCAGGGGTCAAGAGGGTTCTGTCTCTGAAACAGCAGAAACAGCAGCACGCTGATGGGAGTGACCAGAGGCGAACCCTGATGATGCAAGAGGAAACGGAAGTGACCGCTGGAGCACATCCTGTGACAGACGAGGGGACTCAAGGCCAGAGACAGTCTGTGGCTAGCAAGAGGAGGACAGCACTGCATGTGGCCAGCCATGAGGAGTGCAGCAGGCTCCAAGGCAGGCACGTGGCGGATCCCTTCTGAGGGTGTCTATTCCTCAGTGTAAACAGGATGAAGTGCCGCCAAGAGGGTGGCCGGAGGATAGAGAAGGGTAAGACATTCTTCTACAGAGACAGAGAACACAAGCTAGCGGGGAACATGGCAGAGCTGCCAACAGCTCAAAGGACACACCTGATGTTCGGGGTCATGGAAAGGAAGTGAACCTGTATAGTGTGGTCTTGTGTCAGGCTCAGGCAAAGACCCTGCTCAGGTGAGAGTCTGGAGCAGAGGAAAGCTGAGTTTCTCAAGGCTGACGTTTGTTAAGAAGGCTGAAACAATAAAGGCAGGGAGCTTGAGGTGTCAGTGTCCTGCTGGACCATAGCACCTAAGTGAAAGGAAGGAGGTGAGGCCATGAGATGGGGAGGGACAGACAGGGAAGGTGCTAGGGTCAAAGGGCTAGAGGCCACACCAGGGCCCCACTGCAGCTGATGTACTGGGTCATCAGAAAAGTCATGATGTACTTTTCTATGCAAAAATATATCATGACTTAAGAGTAAACAGGAAACAGAGGAGGTGACAGTTGAAAACTGACCACCTGGGGCCTGTAGGTGACATAGTGGTTAAGACGCTAGACTCCCACATGGCTGACCACGGTTCAGGTCCTGAACCTGGTGGCTCACTCTTCTCACACTCACTCTCTCATGAGTGCATGTGTCTACAGCAAATTTAAAAAAAAAAAAGTTAGGGGCCAGCAGTTGGCATAATGGCTATGTCGCTGGACTCCCATGTAGTCGACCATGGTTCGAGTCCCGGACCCGGTGGCTTAAACTCACACTGGGCACCAGGTGCGTGCCCAAGATCCCAAGAGGAGAATGGAGGAGAAGGGACTGCAGCATGGCCATCCCCCCTGGGGGGGGTGATTTCTCACTTTCTGTCTCTCTGTCTCTGTCTGTCTGGCGAGCGCACACGCCCTATAGCAAAAACCTCTCAAAAAAAAATAGTTAAATAATAAAGAAAATGTCTTTTAAAAAATTGCTTAAAATTAAGATTACAAAGAGGGTCCAGTTACACACAATGACACAACCTAGAAAATAACCAAGGCACCCAGCAGCTGAGATGGGGGGAGGGCAAGAGTGGGACAGGTGAGGAATAAGATCCCATCACTTGAAGGATCATCCACATGGTCACCCAAACCCAAGGGCACCCTGACAGAAGAAGTGCTGAGTAGATGGACAGTACAGCAAGTGCTCACACAGTTAAGAGAAAAGGGGATAAATTTGGATGTTTGCAGGTGTCTGCAATAAGATGCAGCAGGTTATCCTGTCTGAAGGCTTGAGCTATAGGAATCAGAAGGTTTTAGAGAAGAACAATGGTCTGAAACAAGCAATGAGGGTAAGGAGGACAAGTTCTCCCACTTTCTTACCCAGTGATTCACAGGTACGAGAGAGAAAAGACAAGTAGGGTCCTCAGCGGACAGAGGGTTTCAGACAGAAGTTTAGCTGACTTGACAACACTCTCTGACAACACTCCACAGAACCATAGAGGCTTAACTATACTATCTTGAAACCAGAAAATGGCTTGAACTTCAAGAATCATTTTAGGGACCAGCAGTTAGCGAAATAGCTATGTCGCTGAACTCCCATGTAGCCAACCGCAGTTTGAGTCCCGGACCCAGTGGCTTAAACTCACATTGGATGCGTGTGCGTGCATGCCCAAGATCCTGAGAGGAGAATGGAGAAGGGACTGTGGTGTGGCCATCCCCTCTAGGGGGAGTGATTTCTCGCTTTCTATCTCTTTGTCTTTCTGGCGAGCGCATGTGCCCTATAGCAAAAACCTCTCCAAAAAAAAAAAAATAATAATCATTTTAGATTTTTTCCATCATCCTTACAGTTGATTATTTATTAATTGAACTATAAAAAGTTACTGGAATTTGGGCCACGTGGTGATGCAGTGGTAACGCAGATGGACCCACATGAGAGAGGTCCGGAGTTTGCCTCCCTGGGCCTCCCTGTATATACAGGGCAGGTGCACGCCCGTGATCCAGGCTGGCTGAGGCTGGGAGAGGGTCATCGTGGTGTGAAGACTCTGTCGGGGGGACTGCCTGTCTCTGTGTGTCTTTCTCACACGAGAAATAAATAATCTTTGAAAAAGAAAAATGATTAGAATTCAAATTCAGGCTCTTTATTTGAAGATAATATAAAGTACCTACTACCTGAAAACCTTTTTTATTTTTTAAGAATTATTGAATTTTGAAAAGGCATCTCTGAACCTGCCAAGTAGGTACCATGAGCTCTCCCAAACTGAAAAAATTTGTGGACAAGAAGTTATCATTGAAATCAAATGGTGGCAACCATGTCCAAGGAATACTGTGGAAATTTGATCCATTTATGAATCTTGTGATAGATGAACGTGTGGACATGGCAACTAGTGGGCAACAGAACAATCCTGGAATGGTGGTAATACGAGGATATAGTATCATCATATTAGAGGCCTTGGAATAGGGGAATGGGTATAAATAATGGCTGTTCGACAGAAAAATCCATGCCCTCTCATCAACGGGTCCGTTTTATGATGATGTAAAAATCACGTCATGTATATTTTCATAACAAACTTTTGTTAATAAAAGAAAATTATTTAATTTTATTTACCATTATTTTAAAATTTGCTACAAGGCATGCATGCTCACCAGAGAAGACAGAGACAGAGAGGGTGAATGAGTAAGAAAGCAAGCTGGAAGGACCGGGTCTCGAATGATGGTCTGCATGTAGGAGCATGAAAATCTTTTTAAAACATGTTCTTGGGCCAGTCAGTAGCCTGATGATTAAAGTAACTGAATCCCATGTGCATGTGATTGGAGTCCTACCCCTGGCTTGACAAACACACCAGGCATGTGTGCATGCATGTTCAAAATCCCAAAAGGAAGGAGAAATGGAGAAGGGATTACAGCATGACCATGCTCCACTGGGGGGTATTTTCTTGCTTTCTCTCTCTGGTAAGCACATACAAATCAAACAAATAAACAAAAACACACTTTTATAGGTTTTTCTGTAACGGATCCATATTATACTGAGACGTTTCTAGTTTCACAAAGGTCCTGGTGTGGATGGAATGAACCACTCTACGGAGACTCATTATCTTTCGACATCCCAGTACTTACTTCACGATGCCATAGCCCAAGCTCACGATGATCACAAGGAGGCGAGCCAACGTCCTCTTAATGGCAGATATCAACTCCGCAAATATCAATAAACCTTGGGCTGGGGAGATAATGAAGAAAATGATTCTCTCTGTGCACATCTGGAGGCTGCCAACCAGGATGCTGAACATGCACCGCATACGGTATTCTGACCTCAGATGAACCAACCATTCAGAAATCATTAACGACTTAAATTTGATTAAAAGTCATCTAATCCAGCCGTATTTGAAAACCCCATTGAAGGAGAATTTACTACCTCTTGAAGAATTCACTTCCTATCTGATCAGATCCACTGGGCAGTTTTCTTGTACTGACCTGAATCCTGTCCTCTGTTCTACCCTTTGGGGCCACAGAGAAACCCTTTCTGTAAATATCTGAAAACCATAATGTCCTTTAGAGTTCTTTTCTCCACAATTCCCTCATCAGGTCTTCATTTAGAATGTGTTCATGAAACTCCTACCATGTGGCTGTAACAGTAAGCCACCCTGATCCCTGCCTTCATGGAGCCTGTGCTTTGCTTAGTACGAGAAAATAGAACTCGGCGTTGTCGGTACTAGAGGCAACCCGGTGTCCTTGGGAATCGCTTGGGGAGGTAGAAGTGGGTCCAAAAGCTCAAAGGTGACAGTTACATAGAGACTCGAAGGCTGAAGAAAAGTATTTAGGGGAAGGAAACGGCAGAACACACAACGACACACATAAAGGCACGGAGGAGAAAAGACTAAAAGCAAAGCGGATTCCAGGTAAAAGTCTGGGAGAGAGTGCAATGGCTGATGTCAAGAAAAGGCAAGTACACAGGCTGGGACCAGTCATGTGGGGTTTGGGGACCCTGTTAAGGAGTCTGGATTCAATTCTAAGGGCAATGGGAGGCTAACATTAGTAAACAAGGAATAAAGAGGGATTCATAAATTACATCCAGGTTTCCCTTCCAAGACCTAGTGCATCTGACAAAGAACCTGGATTTCCCTGAAGATGGCAGAGGGCTTCTCATCTCTTCTCGCACCTCAGGCTTTTCTTCTTCCAAATTTGCTCTACTGTTCACCTTCTATCCAGACAGCAGATCACCACTATTAACTACAAAGGGGTGAAGTGTTTTCTCTAACATTTAAGAATGCTTCACTCAGGGGGACAGCAGGTGGTATGGTGGTTGCAGCGCTGGACTCCCACAGGGCCGACTATGGTTTGTGTCCCGAACCTGGTGGCTTGCTTTCTCACTCTCCCTTTCTCTGTCTGCCTCTCCCTGGTCAAATTAAAAAGGAATAATAAAGGGACCAGCAGTTGGCATAGTGGCTGTGTCGCTGGACTCCCATGTAGTTGACCGTGGGGACCGTGGTGTGAGTCCCGGACCCAGTGGCTTGAACTCACGGCAGATGTGTGTGTGTGTGTGTGTGTGTGTGTGTGTGTGTGCATTTGCCCAAGATCCCAAGAGAAGAATGGAGGAGAAAGGATTGCAGTGTGGCCATCCCCCCAGGGAGTGATTTCTCACTTTCTGCCTCTCAGTCTCTGTTTCTGGTGAGCACCCGCCCTATAGCAAAAATCTCTCAAAAAAAAAAGGAATAATAAAAATACCAAGTGGAATTAAAGAAATGAATAATTCTTCTAAAAAAATTTTAAAAAGAAATGTTTCACTCATGAGCAGTGAAGCTAGTGACATGGTGGTCAAGATGGGTGACTCCCACATAGCCAACTGCATGGTTTGACTCAGTGCCTTGGGAAACCACCAGGCGTGTGTGCGTGCCTGTCCAAAATTCCAAGAGGAGAATGAAGGAGAAGCCTTTGCAGAGTAGCAATCCCCCTTGGGGGTGACTTACCGCCACTCCCCAACAGTGAGTACACACAAACTATAGTAAATTAAAAAACAAAAGCATAAAAGTAAATAAAGGAACGCTTCACTCCTAAGTAGCAAACTTAACTTCCTTCATTATCTGGTTTAGAGCATGCATGCAAGCATGCACATGTGTACATATATACACACATACACACAACCATAAAAACTTTGTTTACAGAATAATAATAACCTCTAACATGCATGCCTAGATGTTTGCCCTTTATTTATGCTTTGGTAAATATCCTTCTAAACTTTAAATTCTGGGAAAATTCTAACATTCCCCAACAGAAAGTAAGCAATATAATGAACTCCCATGAACCCACCACTCAGCTTCAGTAACTGTCAACATTATGCTGCGTTTGCTTCACCTATATTCAAATTCACTTCTTTTTTTCTGGAGAATTTTTAAACGGCAGACACAATCATGCCCTTTGAAATGTGTGCCAGAGTCAGGTCTGTGGAGCAGCAGTAGTGTGCTGCTCTAGAGAACAGATCCCAGGTGGGTACTACGATCTGAATCCCTGGCCTGATCAGCCTGAAACACACAGGGCTCATGTGAAGTGCCCACGCCCCAGTGGGCTGGAGAGCTGGACGACAGGGCTCACAGTGTGACCAGACCCTGTGGAAGCTGCTCACCTTGCTCTATCACATGTACATGCACATGCCCTATCATGAATAAAGAAAAAAAGTTATTTAAGAAAGAAAGAGGGGCTGGCAGGTGGCGTGGTGGTTGAGAGCGCTGGACTCCCACATAGCTGACTGTGGTTTAAGTCCTGGACCTGGCAACTTGCTTTCTTGTTTTCCCGCTCTCTCTTTCTCCCTCTGTCTCTCTCTCTCTGGTCAAATTAAAGTAAAGTTCAATAAAATAATTCTTAAATAAAAAACAAAAAAAGAAACTCTACCAAGATAAATGATCTCAGGCATTTTCAACCCCTTTGAGCTATCTTTGTTTCAAAAGGCCAAGTGGTAGGATTCTTATCATTACCTCTTTGGTTTTTTATGCCCCCAAGGTTTTAGCCATAGGGCGTGTGAGCATGCTGGAGAGAGACAGAGAGAGACAGTGAGAGGGAAAATGAGAAATCACCCCACAAAGAGGATGGCCATGCCACAATCCCTTCTCCTTCATTTTCCTCCTAGGGTTTTGGGCATGCACATGCACACATACGCACCCTATATAATTTTCAAGCCACCAGGTTTAAGACTCGAACGGTGGTCAGTCATGTGGGAGTCCAGTACCTTAACCACTGTACCACCTACTGGCCCCTCTGGCTTATTTTTTTTAAATCAGGATCTTGCTATGTCATGATCCTCCCGTTTCTGCTCCCTGAGTAGGTGGGCCTACAGGTGCATACCATAGCATCTGGCTTTTATTCTCCAGCCTTTTTGAAATCTACCTCCTGAACATCTGGGGCACATATCTGAGGATGCTCCAGTACATGCCCTTCCCGCTCCCCACAGTCCACCTGTAAACCGACGGTGCTTCTACTGGGCGTATGAACATCTCTAAGAATGAAGAGGTGAGAGTGCGAGAAGACCACAGGAGCCATTTGTTCCAGAGCCATGATTTTCTTTCTTTTTTTTTTGTATAGCCACATTTCCTTTCTTTTCTTGTTTGGAAAAGAAGGAGAGAAACAGGATTGATAAACTGAAAGGACTGGTAGCACCTCAGGTCCTCCTGTCCGGAACTCTGTGGTTAATCCAAATCTGAACTTTAGGGAGAGGAAATTCTCTTTTCCTCAGGAGGAAAGTGAGGGGCAAGTTAGCAAGGAGGAAAATAGAAAATGGTGAGCATGCACATGCTAACCCGGGTAACAGTCCTACTCTGTCCTCTTCTTGGCTTCCCTCGATTCCATCTAGAATATGGCTATTTCCAAATGGCTATGCCAGGGCATCGGCCACGGCTCTGCTCACAAACGCTCGGAAAGGGTGAGCCATATTGTATAATGCAGTCGACACTTACTTGACAGTCCAGTGCTGCTAATGTTTTGGTATTCAGAATAAAAAACTGCCTTTTCCAGCATTCCCAAGAAAATAACGGCTGCAATCCAGAACTGGATTCTTAATATATCTTTCCAATAACAGGCAGACCACATCAGCCAGAGTATGCCATATAATATGTAAACAATACACATCACCATGTAAAACTGTGGGAAAAGAAGCAATTTTAGCCAGGTAAGTCTTCTGATTATTTGAAAGTTGGCATTTTTGCACTCAAATGTCTAATCCTTCATGGAATCAGAAACAGAGGGTATGTCATAGTATTAGCTACTAAGGGATTACCAGCATCCGTATCTTAAAATTTAAACATATTTCAATACAAAAATTTCATTTCATTCATTTAACTTAATACAAAATTCTTTTTTTTTTTTTTTTTTTTAAAAAAAAAGAGAGATAATGATGGAAAATACTCACAATCATTAGAGGCCAATCTGATGCAGAGATATATCCATGAGGTCCCACCATAGAAAGAGAAACTAGGAACAGCGACAATAGGGATAGAGAAGAAGAAATGAAAGAGTTAAATTAACAATCAGTCTTTTCTTGAGTCTTTAAATGTAAGCTCATTTCCCAGAAGGCTGCAAGAATACAAACCATGCTAACAAATGCTGAACTTTTACCTAGCTCACTCAAGGTACCAGATAATAAGTAACTGTCTGATTACGGAGTCTTATCAAGATAGCTTTACTTGTATACATGCTATTAGAATAACCTGTGCCAAATTCGATCTTATACAGAAAGCAAAATAATACTGATAACCAGACTGCAGATTTGCCCCTTTGCTGATTCACTGATCCCTCTGAGAACCTTATCTTTCTTAATGTAACCTAAGATAAATTACTGAACTCAAGATCTAGTTGGGTTTTATCTGAGACAGCAATAAACAGAGTGCCAACGATAATGCAAGACATGCAGGGCTCGGCAAGAGCTCTAGTTACTAACTCGGAGGGACTTAAACTGCCTGCTGGTGTCAGGAGAAAACAGTACGATGCCTGGAAAGGGAGGCGCAAGGCAGTGCTCTGGTCTGAATGTCTCCCAGGTTCACGTGTGGAAATGGAAGACCATGGTGTTAAAGGTGGGACCTTTGGAAGTGTGAGGTCATGAGGGCTCTGCCCTTGGGAATGAATGAGTGCCTTATGAAAGGCTGGAAGAACCAGCTGCAGCCCTTTGTGCTCTTCGGCCTTCCGCCACATGAAGACACGGTGTTTAAGGTGCCATCTTGGAAGCACACTGTGGCCCTCTCCAGGTTCCGGACACCAAATCTGCCAACAGCTGGATCTCGAAATTCCCAGCCTCCAGAACTGTGGAAATCAATTTCTGTTCTTTATACATTACCCAGTGTCAGGTATTCTGTTCTAGCAGCACAGACCAAGATAACCGGTCTGATGTGTCAAGGTCCCTTCTTGTTATTTCACTTGGTCTGGCCTGTGACAGAGTCTCTGGGAGGAAGTCCTACTTCCCATTCCTGCAGAGTAGTCGCCTGCACTAGCTTCCCTCTGTGACCTGGCTACAGCCCTGCTCCTCTCCTGCAGATGCCTGTCTCACCTCACCGGTGTCTGCACCCCCACTACACCCAGCATTCTGGGGAAGCAAAGCCTGGCTTCACCTCCATTTCTCCAGAGAATGAATCCGAGTAATATACAAATCCCAAGGATATTCCAATGCTGTTTAGCTACTGCTGGCCCAGTAGACACTCTCCATGGAAAACATCAGCCAGTATAATTCTAGAACTTCTGAAAGCGGTCCAGTCCCTTGAAAACCGCTTACTATGAGGCTGGTCTTGGGGGCACAGGGAACTGGAGCTTAATGAGGAACAGGTCTACACCGTCAGGTAGTCCCTCACAGATCATGGGAGCCATAGCTGAGAGACATGCTACTTCTACTCCTCCGATACAGACAGACTCTCTAAAATTAAACTTGTCAAATAAAAAAAATCTAAACCACCAATGATGGTCCTTTTAAACAAACAGAGAATATAGCCTACTTTAAATACAATTAAGATGTTGCCTACCCACTTCTACAGGTTAAAGGGGTTTTTTTTATCTGAAAGGAAGGAAAACTTGATATGCCACTATGAAGTCTGAAATTTAAAAAAATGATCTTAATAGAATAAAATTGACAATCCATTAAGAAAATGAATATCAGCATTAACATAAGCATAAAGTTCCAAGACGTCCAAATAAACATGTGATTAACAGAAATTCAGTTTTGAATAATGTGTTTGTAATAGAGAATGTTGATTCAGGTCAGTAACAAAAATGTAGAATACAGAAAATGAAGACAGTAAACACATATGCAGAGTAACTATACCATTCAAATTCCAGCTTGCATCTGTTTTTTCTGTTTTAATAGAAACAATAAAGATATGATATCCAGCTCGCTGTGTTTTGGCTACAACATCCTAAAACAGGAGAAAACAAAAAAACAAACAACAAAAAGAACCTTTTATGTTATTGTTATAGACTGCTATATTAAGATGTGACTAAACAGTTGTTCACCCCATTTTAAAACAACTTTTGGTAACTGAAGTGCTTTACTTTTCAAAAACATAAAGAGAGAAGTGAGAGGTGGTAGAGAGTAATTCGAAAATATGTGACTAAAATATGTGGCCTGTAGACACATGTAAAAACGCGTTTTTGTAAGTGACTTTAACAGGGCTATTAAAAAACATTTATACATGAAAGTGGTTATGTGCCTGTTGGTAATGGTTGTCTTGTTGTGTTGCTGTTGATATTTAATACTTTAATACTGTCTAGTATTGGGCTAAAAGAAGTTACACGCGTTTATAAAATTGTTCCCCTAAAATAAATTAGAGAAATGATATGGCGCCAGTCATTTTCACATCTTCAGACAATTTACATCCAAAAACAACTGGCTTTGCATTCTAATTTTTCCTCCCTTATTTTCGTTACATTCCACTTCCTTCTTCCCCATTCCTTTTACATCCCATTTTCCCCTTCCCCCATTTTCTGCCCTTAAAAAAAATAAACCTGAGACTGGTTCTGGTCACAACTTCTCCACTAGAGAAGCTGTGCCCACCCGATCCTCGCTTTTCTATACTTGTGTGTCTTTGTATGTTTGTTATTGCATCTCCTTCTAATCCACAGCCTTCCCCACTCAAAAAAATGTGTTCATGCCAAGCTGTTCCCAGTGACTGGATGTAACATGGGAGGATCTGGAACATATGCCCAATATGTCTTCTTTTTTTTTTTTTTTTTTAAATAATTATTTATTTTACTTTATTTTATTTATTCATCATTTTATTTTTTTTTTAGTTTGACCAGAGAGAGACAGAGAGTGAGAGTGAGAGAGTGAGGAAGTGAGAAAGCCAGCCGCCAGATTCAGGACTTGAACCCCGGTCGGCCATGTGGGAGTGTGCACTCCCCAGTATATGTCAGAATAAGACATATTGGGGGACCAGCAGGTGGCGTGGTGGTTAAGGGCACTGGACTCCCATATGGCCGACTGTGGTTCAAGTTCCAGACCTGGAGGCTTGCTTTCTCACTTTCTCTTTTTCTCTCTGTGTCTCACTCTGATAAAACTAAAAATAACAATAATGATAAATAAAATAAAGGAAAACCTTTACAGGGTGGGGGATAGGGTTCTCTCTCTTTCTGTCAAGTGCATCCACTCTCTGCCAATCAATCAATCAATAAATAAATGAAAGACGGGCAGGCAGGTAGTTAAGGCGCCAGACTCCCATATGGCCAACTGTGGTTTGGTCTGGACTTGCGAGACTTGATTTCTCATTTTCTCTCTCTCTCTGGCCAAATTGAAAAAAATTATAATAATGATAAATAAAATTAAATAATTCTTTTTAAAAAAAGACAGAAAGTTTAACAGAAACAGTATACGAAATACATACAGACGTATGCAAAAAAAAACAAGTTTCAAATAATGTTTCTTTTTGTTTTCCTAAACTTAATAACCTTACTTTATATCCCTCTCCAACTATAAACTCAGCAGCAGACTTTTTTCAGTCTTACAATAAGTTGTATTGTATATATTTGATTAAAGACAAATAAATGGCTTACCATTGATCCCTCCTGGTTTGAAACATTCCTGGTATTTGTTATTAATTCTTTGTTCTGGAAAAAAATAATTTAAAAATTCCATTTTATATTGTTTCATTTCTATGAAGAAAACAGTTTTAATAATGAAGAAAAAATGTGTCACACAAAAATAAAGATTTAAGAGCTGAAGGTTAAAGAACAAATCTCATGGCACCCTGAATATCAGGAACAAAATTCTACTTTTACCAAATTAGAAACTTTTTAATGAAGGTAAGTGGTTCCTGTCATAGAGCAAAGTGTTCAGAAATACAAGAGGGTATTTCTAGGTGCTAAAATGTTCTGTACTTGATCTGGGTCTAATGGCCGTGCTGCTTCATGAAAGGCATGCACTTAGGTGTTCTTTCCTGAGTGTTTATTACATTTCAAGACGAATTTGAAAAGTTTTATTAAACACATATTTTCATTTTAGAATTTACAAAAGAACAAAAATAAGCTAAAATGACCCATAATCTCACTACCCAGAGATGATGTTAACATTTAAGTAACTCTCCATGCAGAGAGGGAGAAAGGGCCCGAGTGTGTTAGATGCTGACGGTAAGGTAAGACCTTTGGTAAGAGTAAGAGGTCACTGTATTGAACAGCAGGGAGGTCACTGGTAAAGTTGGCTAGGGCTGTTGTGATGTGACAACGGAGCAAAGGTCTGACTGCAGTGGACAGAACAGAGAATGGTGCCCAGTGGCAGTGGTGCAGACTGTGGGGCGGCATTGTACAATGTGGGGACCACGTAAGAGGCCCGGGTTCAGATGCTGGATCTCCCTGCACACGCTGGGAGCACCTGTGTGCACCTGTGCTCTTAGCTGGCTGTGAGGCTGAGGGAAAAATCATAGCCCGGCAAGGCCCTGTCAAAGGGACCTGTCTGTCTGTCTCACCTTCTCATGAAAGAAAAAATAATAAACTTGGGGGGAAAAAAGTGAGAGAAAGATGAAGGGGAGCGCAGATGATGTAGCAGTTGCACTGCTGGACCCTCACATGGCCAACCATTACAGCGGTTCAAGTCCCAGACCTGGTGGCCTGACACTCACACCAGGCATGTGTGCAGGCATGTCCAAGAACCCAGAAGGAGAAGAGAGAAGGAACTGCAGCGTGGCCATCATTCCCAGGGGTGATTTCTCGCTTTCTGTCTCTTTGTCTGTCTCTGTGTCTCAGGCAAGCACATGTGCTCTATAGCAAAATTCTCTTAAAAAGAAAAAAGATGAATTGGGGACAGAGGATCACAAAAGACTGTAGCACTGATATTGGGACACAGAGATAGAACAATAGTGTCAATGCTGTATTTACGTAACATATTTTAAACACACAAATTAAGCACTTTTTAAATCAAAATATTGATAAAACATTATTTAGCAGATACTTGCATTCAGTGAAAATAAAATAAAACTATTTTAACATGGTAAGACGGATACTCACAGTCAATGGAGGAAACACCTGTAAATCACTGTTGCAATATAAATTTTCATTTCTTGTTGTCCAACATTCAATGCTCTTGAAATAATGACTGCAGAAGTCTTCGTCATGAAGTTCATGTTTTTGGGACAGCTCCTACCAAAATAAAATTCTACATTATAATTTATTTTCATATTCCTATCCTAGAAGATTAATAAAACTTAATAGCTAAATAATATAAAAAAAAGTTGATTCATTCTGGAATACTCAAATCCATGCAGTAGAATAAAATTCTGAAGAGGAAGTGCTGCACATAATTTTAAGTATAATTAAGATAATCATAACATTTTAGTCATTCCAATATGTCCAGATATAGTAATACATAATATAAACATAATCTTGGGACCAGCAGTTAGCATAATGGCTATGTTGCTGGACTCCCACGTAGTCGACCGAGGTTCGCGTCTACAATGTGGGGACCACGTAAGAGGCCCGGGTTCAGATGCTGGATCTCCCTGCACACGCTGGGAGCACCTGTGTGCACCTGTGCTCTTAGCTGGCTGTGAGGCTGAGGGAAAAATCATAGCCCGGCAAGGCCCTGTCAAAGGGACCTGTCTGTCTGTCTCACCTTCTCATGAAAGAAAAAATAATAAACTTGGGGGGAAAAAAGTGAGAGAAAGATGAAGGGGAGCGCAGATGATGTAGCAGTTGCACTGCTGGACCCTCACATGGCCAACCATTACAGCGGTTCAAGTCCCAGACCTGGTGGCCTGACACTCACACCAGGCATGTGTGCAGGCATGTCCAAGAACCCAGAAGGAGAAGAGAGAAGGAACTGCAGCGTGGCCATCATTCCCAGGGGTGATTTCTCGCTTTCTGTCTCTTTGTCTGTCTCTGTGTCTCAGGCAAGCACATGTGCTCTATAGCAAAATTCTCTTAAAAAGAAAAAAGATGAATTGGGGACAGAGGATCACAAAAGACTGTAGCACTGATATTGGGACACAGAGATAGAACAATAGTGTCAATGCTGTATTTACGTAACATATTTTAAACACACAAATTAAGCACTTTTTAAATCAAAATATTGATAAAACATTATTTAGCAGATACTTGCATTCAGTGAAAATAAAATAAAACTATTTTAACATGGTAAGACGGATACTCACAGTCAATGGAGGAAACACCTGTAAATCACTGTTGCAATATAAATTTTCATTTCTTGTTGTCCAACATTCAATGCTCTTGAAATAATGACTGCAGAAGTCTTCGTCATGAAGTTCATGTTTTTGGGACAGCTCCTACCAAAATAAAATTCTACATTATAATTTATTTTCATATTCCTATCCTAGAAGATTAATAAAACTTAATAGCTAAATAATATAAAAAAAAGTTGATTCATTCTGGAATACTCAAATCCATGCAGTAGAATAAAATTCTGAAGAGGAAGTGCTGCACATAATTTTAAGTATAATTAAGATAATCATAACATTTTAGTCATTCCAATATGTCCAGATATAGTAATACATAATATAAACATAATCTTGGGACCAGCAGTTAGCATAATGGCTATGTTGCTGGACTCCCACGCAGTCGACCGAGGTTCGCGTCCTGGACCCGGTGGCTTAAACATCCCGGCGGGCGCTTGTGCGTGCGTGCCCAAGATCCCAAGAGGAAAAAAGAGAAGGGATGGCGGTGTGGCCATCCCCCCTGGGGGGTGATTTCTCACTTCCTGCCTGCCTCTCTGGCTGTCTGGCGAGTGCACGCACCCTATATAGCAAAAACCTCTTAAAAAAAAAAATATATATATATATAAACATAATCTTATAATAAAGAAACTACCACAAAGAAATAGTTCCCAGAGAAGTAAAATATACTGGTCTAGGGATACTCCTGTTTTCTACCATGTTTAAGAGATCTTACAAAGAATGCAAGCAGCATTTAACTACCAAGAAAGGTAAATCAGATGTTAACATAAAACAAAGCTGGCCAGTCCACAGGAGCACGCATTTACTATCAACGACCTGAAAGTCCTCCCAGCCTAGAGTGGATGAATAAACTATGTTCCTAACGGCAGCTCCCAGGCATCGAAAAAGCTAAACTGACTCCCACAGACCAACTATGGAACAATTTAAGTAAAAGAAGTAAAAACAGTAACATATAACCAATATAACAAAGTAAAAATCATGAATCCATACTGATTGACACATTGACAGGTATGAGAGAGGAAAAGGAAGAGCTGATCTTTGCCGTAGAATGGTAATAAATGTAGAACAAAATGTGGAATTAGAAAATCACCACTTAGTGGGGCTGTCAGGTGGCATGGTGGTGGTTAAAGCAGCTCAACTCCCACACGGCTGATTGTGGTTTGTGTCCTGGACCTGGCAGTTTGCTTTCTCATTCTCCTTCTCTCTGTCTCTCTCTGATCAACTTCAAAAGAAATTAAATAAATAAATAAATAAATAAATAAATAAATAATGACAATGAATAAAATTAAATAATTATTTTTTAAAAAGAAGAAAATCACTGAGCAATGATCACAGGAATAACTGATTCCTCAGGGAACAGTCATGAAAGGGGCTAGTCAAGTACCATAATGGTTAAGGAAGCTACTGGGTCCTGGGAAAGTTCATGATGTATTTTTTTCTGTGTTCTTCTATGCAAAAATGCATCATGACTTTTCTGATGACCCCATAGATCCCACATGGCTTATTACGGTGGTTCAAATCCTGGCCCTGGCAACTTGAAAAATACCCCAGGTACATGGGTTTGCATGCCGCAAAACCCGATAGGATGAAGAAGTGGAGAAAAAGGGACTGCAGAGTGATCATGCCCCTTTGTGGGGTGTTTTCCCTCTCCCTCTCCCCACCTCTTTCTCTGTCTCTGGCAAGCACATGTACCCAGGATGCTAAAACAAGTGAATGAAGGTTTGATTGGAAAAAAAAAAAAAAAAAAACAGGATATTTACACAGTTTCAGAACTATTTCCTCATGTTTTTGTTAATAAGAAAAAAGTATTAACTTTATAGTACAGAAATTTGGAAGATACCTCCTTAACCAACTGTTCATCTTCACACTGGGCTGGCTCCATTGCCTAGTGGGTAAGAGGGCTGGATCAAAAATGGCCACCCATGGTTCAAATCGTGGCCCCAACAGCTTGCATGCATGATACTGCGTACGCATGCCCAAAATCCTGACAGGATGGACTAATGGAGTAGAAGGGATTGCGGCCTGATCACGCCCCATTGGGGAGTGCTTGCTCCCTCTCTCTCTGTCTCTCTCTGGTTAGTGCACAAGCCCTCTGGCAATTACAAAACAATAAATAAGTACCACCCAAAACAGGACAAACAAGTAGTCAGTGGTATTCCCACCAAAAATGTGTAACTTGAATCTGATTATGAGGAAACATCAGAAATACTGAAACTGAGGGACATTTTGCAAAAATAAGAGACCTGTATGTTTCAAAAATATTGATGCCATGATGGATCAAAAAGGAAAAATATAAAGCTCCAGATTATTGTCAACTAGAAACAAAGACAAGAAAAGGGAACTTAACACGATCCTGGATTGGATTCTGTGCCAGGAAAAAGAAATGCTATTAAAAAATCATTACTGAAACATTGGTGAAATTTTAATATGGCCTATATTTTAGGTAACAGTATCATATCAATGCTAAATTCCTGAATTCAATGATCATACTGCTCAATCTAAGGGAACATTTCCTTTCTTAAGAAATACACACTGAGGTATTTGGCATTTTCACTCCAAACAGAAAGATAATACTAGCAAAAATATCAAAACCCACACATTATTCCAGCTAGGAGCCAGAGAGCAAAGAGGCTGAAAAGTAAATGATACCAAGCAACCACCATGAGAACCACCTAAAGGCACCTTGCTGGGGGACACGGAAGCCCCTGTGCAAACATCAGGGAAAGGAGCCGGGAGGCAGTGTAGACAGCAGGCCCTGCAGCACAGCCTCTTGTCCTTCCCTCTCTTTTCTTTGCCTTCTCCCAGACATCTACTTGCACTCACTAAAGTTCTAGGTTTGCCTATAACTAATTTTTGGAATGCGATGATACTTTTAAATTTCTTTCTCAAATTAAATTGATTTTTATTTGTATGTGACCCACAGTCCCTTTATCAATGGCTTCTGTATGTCTGACTTAAACAATTATTAACATTGTTCATAAGCTACTCACAAGGAAATTAAAAAGCCCATTGTCTTCTCAGAAAGTATATACTCTGATTTATTGCTTTAAGTTTCAAAATAAATCTGTGGCACATCTGAAACTATAATCTATATTTCTAGACTCCTTACCTCATGAGCTTAAAAAAAAACTCCTTATATGCCTTTAAAGAAAAAAATTGCTAGAAAGCATGTGTACTAATTGGAGAAGGAGAGAAAGAATGAGAAAGAGAAAGCACCCCTCCTTGGGAATGGTCACACCGCAATCCCTCCTCCTCCATTCTCCTTTTAGAATTTTGGGCACAAAAGCACCCTACACCTGGAATTATTTATTAATTTTATTTATTCATTCATTTATTTTAATTTGATCAGAGAGAGAGAGTGAAAAAATGACAGAGCAAGCCATCAGGTCTGGGACTCAAACTATGGTCGGCCATGTGGATGTGTCCAGCGCCTTAATCACCACACCACCTGCCAGCCTCAACACCCAGTATGTTTTTTGTTTGTTTGTTTTTTGTTTGTTTGTTTTATTTTTTTATTTTAACTTTATTTATTATTATTATCATTATTATTTTCCAGTTTGATCAGAGAGAGAAAGAGAGAGAGAGAGAGAGGAAGTGAGAAAGCAAGCCACCAGGTCCGAGACTTGAACCATGGTCAGCCATGTGGGAGTCCAGCGCCTTTAACCACCATGCCACTTGCCGGCCGCCCCAGAATGTTTTATAAGCTTCTGGGTTCAGGACCTCAACAGCCTAAACCACTATACCACCAGCTGGCTACTGTTAATAAATCTTTATACTCTCAATAATTTCTTCATAACTTTACATGTATTGAAGAGTGTGTTATACTTACATCCAGTGTATAATATTCATTGTGACAGGTATGATACTTCAAATACCATTCTATGGTAAACTTCACAGGCCCAGAACAACTGAATGACTTAACTGTTTGGAAAAAGAAAGTCTTGTTTTATATTAATAATGAACGGTATATATGCAAGTATGAGCTTAAGGATTTAAGAACGCAGTTTAAAGTAGGCTACTTTAATGTAACAATGAGTAAAATATTATTTAATTTCTCTAAAAAGTCACTGTAAAATGATACAGGTAAGTTCATTAAATTATTATGGTTAACTAAAAGTTGCTATACTACTATTCATTCATCTATAAATCCAACGTTAAAATCAACTGAATAACTTAATATGCTAAGACACTACTTATTTAATTCTAAAATGACCTTACTTATTCACTCAGATTGTACTGAATGAGGTCCAGCTGCAGTGGCATAGTGATATGACACTGCAATGCTGGAAGCCATGAGAAAGACGGGGACTCGGTTCTCAAGGTGACCACACAAGTTCGGGAAGTATGCCTGCCTATGATTCTGGCTGGCTGGAAGGTCGGGTTAATCATGGGACATGACCCTGTTGAAAGTGCTTTTTTTTTTTTTTTTTTTTATCTTTCTCTCTTTTTCGCATGAAGAAATACACCTTAAAAATATGTTTAAACAAAAACGAAGTAATGGAAGGAGTCCCCTCCTGTGTACCTGGATGGGATATAATGGTAAACAAGAACAATTCATATCTATGACCTAAGAGAATGTTTTGGGGAAAAGGCGGGTTAACAATTAAACAGGCACTTTCTTTTTTTTTTTTTGGACAGGTTTTTGCTATAGGGTGCATGCGCTCACCAGAAAGACAGAGTCAGAGAGACAGAAAGTGAGAAATCAGCCCCCAGGGGGATGGTCATGCTGCAATCCTTTCTCCTCCATTCTCCTCTCGGGATCTTGGGCATGCACGCACACGCACCCAGCGTGAGTTTAAGCTACCACCAGGTCCAGGATCCGAACCACGTTTGACTACATGGGAGTCCAGTGACATAACCATTATGCCAACTGCTGGTCACTTTGTTTTTTTTTTTTTTTTTGAGAGGTTTTCGCTATAGGGCGCGTGCACTCGCGGACAGAGACAGACAGAGAAACAGAAAGCGAGAAATCACCCCCCAGGGGGGATGGCCACGCCACAATCCCTTCTCTTCCAGTCTCCTCTCGGGATCTTGGGCACGCATGCACACGCATCCGGCGTGAGTTTTAAGCCACCGGGTCAGGGACGCAAACTGCGGTCGACTACTTGGGAGTCCAGTGACATAGCCATTACGCTAACTGCTTGGTCTCTGCTGGTCACTTTCAACAGACTGAGGGGTGAGAACAGGAACTCAAGGGAGCACTGGGCAGGGAACCTGCCTAGTCTAAAAGAGTATGAAGAATGGGTTATGGGCAGGTCTGATGGAGGAAAAGCGAGTTAGGCAGGTGGAGAAGAGCGCGGAAAGTATATGCAAATGACCAGGGTAGGTGAGAGCATGGCCTGAGTATGATCGCCTGAAAAGAGCTGTTTATGACTAGAACACAGGCTGGGGAAAGGGGGAGAACTCGTGCTGGAGCAGAGTACTGGGAAAAATTCATGAGAGGTCTAACACTCTGTACAGAGCTTGGCCTTTGAGTATCGTGAAGCACTACAAATATGTCAGCTAAGAGGGCCCATAATGAGACAGAGTGAAATAGGTTAAGTCTAGAACCAGAAAAACCTCCACTAGGCGCATACTCATAACATGAAAGGGGGCTTCCCCCAGAGTAAGTGATCAGATTAAGAGCTAAGTGGTAGCCACAGGATCTTTTATAACTTAGCTAAAAAAAATCTCATGTCAGGGGCTGGCAGGTGGCATGGTGGTTAAGGCAGCTGGATTCCCACATGGCTGACCATGGTTCAAGTCCCAGACCTGGCAGCTTGCTTTCTCACTATCCCTCTCTCTCTGGTCAACTTTTAAAATAATAATAATAATAAAATAAAATGATGACAATGAATAAAATATTTTTAAAAGTCTCATGTCATTACTTCTGCATATTCTGCTGGTCATTCGGATCACCTCTGATACAACGTGGTAAGGGACAACACAAGCCATGAACCCCAAGAGGCAGGAGTCACTGCAAGTCATCTTAAAAAGTGGGGGACCAGCAGTTAGCGTAATGGTTATGTCGCTGGACTCCCACATAGTTGACCGCGGTTTAAGTCCAGGACCAAGTGGCTTAAACTCACGCCAGGCGCATGTGCGTGCGTGCCCAAGATCCCCAGAGGAGAATGGAGGAGAAAGGATTGTGGTGTGGCCATCCCCCTTAGGGAGTGATTTCTTGCTTTCTGTCTCTCTGTGTCTGTCTGTCTGGCGAGCACACGTACCCTATAGCAAAAACCTCTCAAAAAGGGAAAAAAAAAAAAGTAGTAACCACCCAGAAACAACCCAAACTGAGCCCAGAGATTGGAGGTCAAGAACCTGAGGCTGGCAAAATTGCTGGGGCAGAGTACCTAAGGGATGAGAACAACACAGACAAAGAGCAAGAGAAAGCGCAGTGATCTCCTGGCTGAGAACAGCCTGCCCAAGCATAGGGAGATGCCACACCAGGCTGAGAAACTGCGTTTCCACTGGCCAGAGTAGAAATGCCTCATTAAATAGACCAAGCATTCAGGAGAGATGTAGAAAGACTAAACCTCAGAAGTGGTACAAAGTTAGCCCTAGAATAAAGACTACACACGATCCGTCTGAAAAAAAATGTTTAAATAAAATTGGGGGATAAGCAGATAGTGTGGAGTTTAAGGTGCTAAGTGGTTTGAGTCTCAGACCCAGCAGCTTGACAATCACACTGGGCATGTGTACAAGCATGCCCAAAACCCTGGGAGGAGACTGGAGAAGAGATTACAGCGTGGCCATCCCCCCTGGTGAGTGCTTTCTCATTTTCCCTCTCTCTGGTAGTACACACATCCTATAACAAAAAAAAAATTTTTTTAATAAAATTGGGAAGGATCAAACTGGTCTACAAGAAAGTGTCTGCTAGAACAAAGTTGTTAAAGGACAATAAAATCATCTAGCAATCAAAAATGGGAAAGTCACAATATCCGCCATCCAAACAAAAATGCTAGATATACAAAGCAGGAAAAATCTGCTTTGACATAAATCAGTCACCAAGAAAAAGATAATAAAAATGACAAAGATGACAGACTAAACAGACAAGCACGTGAAAACAGACAACATATTCCATATGTTCAAAGATGTAAAGAAAAACATAAAAATACTAAGCAGAGAAAGAAGATTTTTCTAAAAACCAAACTTTTGGAGATTTAGGGAAAAATACGATATCTGAAATAAAAAGATCACTAAGTGGAGATTAACAGATTAGATTCTGGAGAAGAACGTATCAGTGAATTTGGAGACAAAGCAATATATATATCCAAAATTAAGCACAGAAAGAAGAGACTGAAAAAAATCAACAGGGCCTTAGTAACCTGTGGCAATATCAAATGGTCTAACATATATGTAAATGAAGTCCCAGAAGGACAGTACAAAGAGGTGGGGATAGAATATCTCAGTCCATGATCTACAGCAGGAGTTTTTTCTTTTTCCCTGTACAATTATCTAGTTGTTCTAGAACCACTTGTTAAAAAGATTATCTTTGGAGTCTGCAGGTGGCATGGTGATTAAGGTGCTGGACTCCCACATGGCTGACCAAAGTTAGAGAACTGTACCTGGAGGCCAGCTTTCTCACTTCCCCTCTCTTTCTGTCCCTCTCTGATCGAATTAAAAAACAGTAATAATAATGGGGCCAGCAGGTGGCGTGGTGATTAAAGGCACTGGGTTCCCACATGGCTGTAAGCAGTTTGAGCCTCAAACCTGGCAGCTTGGTTTCTCGCTTTCCCTTTCTTTCTCTCTCTCTCTGTCTTTCTCTGGTTAAATTAAAAAATAGTAATAACAAATAGAATTAAATAAATAATTCTTTTTTAAAAAACGGTAATATTAAATAAATAAATTTAAAAAGATGATCTTTCCTCCAATAAATTACCTTGGCACCCTTGTTGAAAACCAACTGACCACACAGATGTGGGTGGGTTTCTGGGCTCTCTAGTCTGTTTCATTGTTCTGTCCCCAGCTATAGCCAAACTGTTATGATTACTAGAGCTTTAAGTTAAAAATTGAAATCACAGAGTAAAGGCCCTTCAACTTTGTTCTGTTCCAGAAATGGTTTTGGCTGTTCTAGGTCCTTTGTATTTTTGTATAAGTTTTAGAAACAGTTAAGTCAATTTCTATTGAAAAGCCTACTTGGGGGACCAGCAGTTAGCGTAATGGCTGTGTCGCTGAACTCCCATGTAGTCGACCGTGGTTTGAGTCCCGGACCCAGTGGCTTAAATTCACGCCAGGCGCGTGTGCGTGCGTGCCCAAGATCCCAAGAGGAGAATGGAGGAGAAGGGATTGCGGTGTGGCCATCCCCCCCGGGGGTGATTTCTC